AATATATATATACCATCATCATTCTATACTCCATTAGATTTAAACGTTCTGAATTCTTCAATTATATTCATTAGGTTAGTAGGTTATATACACTACTAAATAATCTGAGAACCGAAACTGTATTCAATTCTTCAGTTATTTATTTATTTATTTTTAGTTTATATCACTTCACAATGAAAATTTATTTTACGTCACAAAATGGATTGATCTATGTTAGATAATTATTGAAAACTAGAAAACATATAATAACTGTTTCGTCCTAGTATGAGATTTTTCAATAGTGAACAATCATGACCTCATTAGAGATTAAACTTATAGCTGTTAATCTCAATAAACGATTAAAGTTTTAGATATAAGTCATTAAAAGCCGGTGTTCCAAAATGTGAAGATCCTGTGTTAAACTTTTGATAAAATAGTGGATGTGCATTCCTGAATGCTACACTAGGATGAAACAGCTTCCAAGTGTGTTTTTATCACCAACGGTTATCTATGTAAATCAGCTAATGGTAGTGAACTTGAATTTTAACAGTTTACGAAACCTTGTTTCCTTTTCTTTGTTGCCTAACTCTACAACGATTAAAAAGAAACAGTATATGTTTTAGAATTTTTAAATAATGTATAAAACTTATAAGATCTTTTATGCATACATATTTCTTTCTTGTACGCGATTAATTCTCCTTCTGATCAGTTTCGAAATCTTTTAACATCTTATACTGTTCAGAAAGACTAAAGACTTATCAATCACGTCTGCTTATCAATGGCTAATGTTGAGATGAATTCTTGAAGGTCTGGTGTGAAGTTGTGACTCATATAGTTCGACTCTGTCAAAATGAGATGGTTATCATCATTAATGACACTTTGATGACCTTAACTCTTCATCCAGAATTGAATGACGTTTGTAAGTACAAACTTCAACTCAACGGTTCAAAGATAAGGTGTTTGCCATGAAACCTAAAATTCATGGACTCGATCCCTGACGTTGCTATGGGTTTGCACTACGTTGATGAGTCCCATCTTGGTACAACAAAACCCTCCAGTACCTCATGATTCTGAGTGTTTCGTCCGATAAGGTTAATCTATACTGAAAATCAGCTTAAAAGTAATTTCGTTTTCATTTGTCTGTAGATAAGGTTTTTATTGATAGCTTATTTAGAACCTTATTTAGTAATAAAGCACCCGCTTGTAGCTGGTCTTTCGATGTTATGGCTAGGCTTGCATATCGTGATGACCCAACCGAGCAATATTGTCTGTCACGCCCGTTCCTTTAGGATCTGTCATGCTGGTCAGATTGGATAGAGAGTGATAAGGCTGAGCATTGGTACGTTTCTTTCTTCCCATAATAAAAATAAATGGTAGAAAAGGCCGGTCTTTAGTGTTGTACACCTCACATTACTTTATAAATGTAAGGAGCAAATACACCAACGATTATTCACAAGACGTCCTTATATAATCAACTTCAAATACTTGTACTTTGGGTACGAGGTCAAGGCCACGCCTAACCCAGTGCCGATTTTAGATATCTCAACAGGAAATATCCTCTCGTCATATGATCAGCCAAGAAGTAACAACTACCATCATATTTATGACTTCACTTAAGATCACCGTCTTCATTACCTAACATTCCTTTCACTTCCACTCTTCCTAGTAATAAAGTTGAATAAAATTCAAATTACATTTTTAATTTCTATTTCTATTTCATTAGTATGAAAAGATTTATGATCATTGTAAAATATACAGAACTATACGTAACACAAACGTCTATTTAAAAATTACCTGGTTAAAAGATAATTCAGACCCTACTTACTACACGAAGACATTTCACACGATAACAAATTTGACTATTGCAAAATTTCCACAAGACTTCAGTTTAAAATATTTTTTGTAGGAATACATTTTACTAGATAAACCAGTTATCATGAAACTTTTGCAGTGAACAGAACACGGGTGGGGACAACCGAATTGTATTTAGCACAAAATTACAGAGTTATTTGGTAAAATAGAAAAACCATCTAGTAAATCGTTAATTTGCAAAATATCATTCCATCATATCGAACCGAACTGTTGCTGTTGCAATCATCAATCCATTGTTTCACATTTTATTGTTCATGCGTTTTCATGCGTTCTCTTCCTTTCTTGATCTTTCTCCATCTTCCGCTGCCAGACATTACGTTTCTGACTTGCGTCATATATTACATCCATCAATATAAGTAGCACGCATCACAATGTGACTTCATACAGAATAGGTTTATTAGTAGTTCATTTATTAGTTTTATTTCGTTTATCTTGAATTATAGTATTTCTTCATAAATGCTTTGACATTTTATCTTTCCGACATAAATTCTCAATGTTTAGTCTTTCTCATTATCATTACCATTACAATTATTGCCATTTCTTTAAATATTCATCTTGTTAATTTTACGTCATGGTGATGATTTGGTATGTTAATTTCTGCCAAAGAACATGTATGCTCAACTCTTTGTTGATCATTGTTGACTAGTCGTTTGAAGTAGATAATTCTACATAAACTTCGTTATAATAGTGTTACGTTTGACATTTAAATATTTGAAAATTAAATCTAAGGAAATAAATTACCATGAGAAGCTACTCTTAACTTTAGGCTTTTTACACTAAAGAATTTCTTTGTGTCATAACCGAAAATTCCATTTATATTACCATTCATATAATATTTATTTCTCATATGATTCTGAAATTAAAGTTTATCAAGTATTTACTGTTGTGATTGTTACTTCTTAACAGTTTATTTCACAGCAAATTTTTAATCAGCAGAAGATGCATTAGTGATTAATGAGTTAAAAATCAAGCTTACAATAAGGGTGGTGAAGATTTGTAGCTCAGGTGGATTATTTTGATGGAGTTTTGTTCTCTGAGCTACAAATCTTCTGTACCATCTCAAAATCATATATGAGCGTAGTACACTTCTCGTTGTTCGAAAATTGAAGAATTTCGCCAAAAGGCAGGCTTCCACTCGAGAACAACTGTATTTTCTCCACAAGTATCTTCGTCAGCACGTTCTACATAAAATAAGGGTTATATAAAAGCATTATAAAAATATTAACTCAGTCAATCCTAATCAATACAAAACCTGGTGCATATGTACACAGGTTTTAGTTGCCACGTCAGCACGGTAAGATAAAATTATCAAGATTAATGCTAAAGTAGCATTAATGGTAGTAAAATGACTAAGCCTAGAGTAGATAATTCGAGTATAAAAAATAAACTCGCAGAATGAAGATTATAAAGCAGTTTTACAACTCAAGATATAGAAGAATATAGTCAGTGGTTGATTTTTATGCATGTCACCTAAAGGCTTTAACTACTGATCGCGATCATGATAATTGCGTAGACTCCAACGAATTGATGTGAATCTACCAATATAACTTCATGGACTGACTCCAGGTCTTAGTTTGGCTGCTCCTAGTTTTCAGTCAACTTATTCCTACAACCTTAAACATTACACGTCGAAGAGTAGGTGTGATTAAGCAAGTAACACGTGTCTCAATCAATTCAGCTGATGGAAATTTACAGTTTCATCAACCGATTAGTTATTTTTTCCTAGTTCCCTGTGTTTAACGATAGCAACGCTCGATTGGGTGGCACCAACATAAGCCTATGATTAAATACTAGTAACCTACTGATACTACTGTGGTGCGTGCTACTTATATTGACATAAGCAGTATATTACGCGAGTCAGGAATGTAATGTCTGGCAGCAGAAGATTGGGAAGATCAAGAAAGAAAGAATGGGAATAGAAAGCAATTAGTGTAGAAATGCAAGAACAATGAAGTCCACGACAATTATTGAACATTTATCATTCCTTTTATGATTCACTCGTATTGCCGTAATCTCACGCTCCAGCTCCTCAATCTTCTTCTCGACACTATTTATATCCTACCTTCCGCACCCGACCGGAGCTACTGTTCGTGTCATCAGCTATCGATTCACCAATATCCATAGGTTGCGCAGCGTTTACTAGTTTCAGCTGCTGCGAAACGGTGGCAGCCACACTCTTGAGAAACTGCGACGCCAATGACTGTGCCTCCGACTCCTCATACAGATTCGGCAGTGCATGGCGCAACAACCTGGTTCTCTCCACGGCCAGCACCAGTGGGTCACCACCGACCGACAACCTTGCCAACCGGAACTTCTGCAGTGCCTCCTCCCTGTCCACTGGGCCATCGAACTCCGCCATCGACCGCTCCGTGACTGTCTCCCATGTTGTCTTTCCTCCAGCACCTTCCAAACTGTCATATACAGCCTTTGCCCTGCCTCTCATCAGCGTACTCAGCGCCGCCATTTTTGTCTTCGGCTCCTTCACTCCCACCAGCTCCGCCACAGCCTCAAACTCCTTCAGGAAGCCCACCACATCTCCGTCCTCAAATTCCTTTGGCCGTGGAATCTTCAGCCCTAGTGGATGCAGCGACACCTAATGTATTGAAGGAGAACACAGGTGAGGACAACCGAATTATATTTAGCACAGAGTTACTTGGTAAAATAGAAAAACCATACTATAATACTTAATTTCCAAAATGTTCAATAATTGTCTTGGACTTCATTGTTCTTGCATTTCCATACTAATTACTTTCTATTCCTTCTCTTCCTTTCTTGATCTTCCCCATCTTCTGCCTCCAGACATTACATTCCTGACTCGCGTCATAAACTACTTATGTCAATATAAGTAGCACGCACCACACCACTACTACCTATATTTCATGATCTTCATTGTTTACCTTCTGACCAATCGACTATTATATTCAGTTGCTTGAATAATGTCAAAGTAATTTCCTCTAATAATAATAATAATTAATTTTAACTAAATACGTTCATTATGTTTCATTTGATCTAATTATTATTTAAGATCACAAATCATCTCCAAAAAACAATTCGTTCCTTACATTGTTGAATAAATATTTCAATGTTCCATTTTATAGCTCAATAGTGACTTACAGTTTTTTTTGTTGTTAATTTTTCTATAATTATAGTTTAAGAAAATGTTAAATAAAGAATTAAGTCAATTCGCTGATGCTGGTCAAAGTGGCAAACAAATATCTGAATATATTTGTTCAACATTTTTAGATTCAAAAGAAAATGATCCATTAACAACCACAAATCACCCATCTATGATATCACATAATAATACACATGGAATAATGTCGAATAGTATAAATAAAGATATAATAATAAATAATCATGATAATCCTACTGAAGTGAATACATATAAAACTGTTGAACCCGGTGAAATAATTCAAACAACAGCAACAACTACAACAACAACACTGACTGATAATAATGATGGTGATACAATGATAGCAATGACTAGTGATAATAACAGTAGTAATATTCCTAGTACAATTAAACGTACAACCGCAGCAATGGGATCTACTATAATCAATAAATCATTGTCGAAATTATCTTCTTCACTATCAACATTATCATTGAAAATGAATAGTAATATGAATGTAAATGAAAATACTAATAGTAATGACAATGATAATAATAATAATAATAATATAATGATAAAATCTAGTGGAAATTCTCATATCACAATGTCAATCCATTCTTCTGGTACATCACCTCCTCCTCCTACTCTATCTCATCAACATCATAGTGAATATGATAAAGTCCACTGTTCACAAACACAAATTGTACCATATGTAATAAATTCAATAAATCCAAAGAAACTCGAAGATGTAAGTTTTCATATTTATTCTTTGGTTCTTTCGTATTTTAGACTTTATATATAGTGCAGTTTTCATCACGGATTAGAGTTTCAGCTCAGCAATTATTAGAAAAATTGGAGAGTTCTAGATAGATGTTTTGTTGTAATAAAGAAATCTTATGATCTTGTCAAGGATTATGCGTTGTATAGGTAATGCTATGTCGTGGCTCAAATTACAATATTTAATTATAATATAGTTAAAGATATTTGAGAATAAATATTGTACCTACATCCTATACTACCTGGCACTCGTCAAAGATCGTATCTGTAATCTTGAAGGAACAGATGCTCTAAGTAAGATTCAATCCCTCGCCGATCAAGTCCATAGTATTTAATTTACACTATTTAATTATTCGTCAAATTTATCATCATCATATTTATCCTTTATTATCACTTTTTCTATCCATTAAACCGGAAAATCACTATGCTAACAAAGCATAATTACAATTGATTAATCACCAATATCTCGTTTGTTCAACCCTTCAGTGTTAGTTGAATCCTATTGATCAAGTTCCAAGGTAACCGAACTATTTCAAACGAATCGACATTGAGTGCATTTTATATTGATCTTTTACTGTTTGATATAATCTACAGAAAAATCTGGATCCAGATTTCGTGCTATTTGATGCTCATCAGTAAAGTGTACCTTTAACCCAACCCCATAAAGAGTATCGGTTCCCTCCAGATCGCATGTACGGATCTCTGACAACTGCCTACTAGCACGACACTTAGGTTGAGTTAGGTTTCCTACCGACTACACTGCATAATTTTCAGATAAACAACAGTCTTAAAAAGTTAGAAATCAAATCTATCAATAATGGTAATAAACGATTCGCTATTATTTTCAGATTTTGCTTAACCGTGTAAATTTACATTAAAAGATAACAACTTACACTATTTAGCAAAAAACACAACATTACTTTTAGAGTACCCAATTCACACTAAAAATACCACAGAAATTTAACTACATCCATCTACAAGTTACTTAAACATGAATTCAAGCACTATTCACGTTAATCTGTCATCGTTTTGTCTCCGACAAAGCAGTTTACCGACCAAAGATGTCATTGATATCTCAAGAAAATAAGACCGATTCACTATGATGAACAAAGTAGTTATTTATTCTCAAAGTAGAACTTGAAAATATGATCACCAGTTCAATTTGATATATCATATCAGCACAGTGTCGTACGAGAGTCGTAGAAGTAATAACAGGATCAGTCACAGAAAAGATTAGGTATTGGCGACATACTTTGAAAAAATATGAATTTATCGAATCCACAATGTATATGACATTCAAACTCTTTTTCATTTATTTCAATATGGGAAATCGCATGATTTCACTTGCCTTTACACAATAAAATTATTTGAGTTCAAACACAAGAACTTATATTCGCTAAATAAATCATATTATCTAATGATCATGTTCGTTTTAAGCATTCGTGTACGTGTAAGTACTAAAGTTCAATGAGCTGTTCAGATAATTTAACCTTAAATATTCAAAGTTTTATAGAACGGACTGGACTTAGTTAAATGATCATCAAAACTTGAATATCTATTTCGTAATAATCTGAAAAACTCGGCCGGTCGGTTCCAAGCCCGGATAAAGAAGGAAGGTTGGGCATTGGGTCGACAACGCTATTCCATAAAAATCAACCTAGCTAAAAAACGCCAACCAGATTAAACAAATAAACCATCTAAAATCTGCCCTCCGAGTTGAAGGAAGAATCATGACACCTCATGATGAAAGCCGAAATTCTCCGGAAGTCACGAGGCCGATGCCCCTTCTAACAACCAGAGCAACAACTCTTATATCTATATGAAACGTCCAGAGAATGTGGGAGACCGGGAGGATCAACCAAATAGCTATGGAAATGTGGAGATATAACTCGTCAGTATACGGAATAAGTGAAAACCATTGGACTCAAGCTGGACAGCAAAGTCTAGATACGAGAAAGTTGCTGATGTACTCCGGCCATGAAGAAGAAGATGCTCCACACACTCAAGGAGTTACTCTGATGCTGTTCAAAGAAGCACGTAAGGCACTTATAGGATGGGAATCACACGGATCCAGGATCTTCAAAGCATCCTTCAAGACAAAGAAGGAGGGAAACACGATGAATATTGTCCAATGTTATGCACCCACCAATGATACCAACGATAACAATAAAGATGAGTATTATGAGAGGCTGCAATTGATCATAGCGAAGTGCCCAAGAAAAGATCTCACCATCCTGATTAGAGACTTAAACTCCAAAATAGGGACGGACAACATGGGACATGAAGATATCATGGGATGACACGGACTGGGAGAGAAAAACGAAAATGGGGAGAGATCTGCAAACCGATGAACATTCAACAAATTGGTCATAGGTGGTACAATATTCCCACACAAACCCGTTCACAAAGCTGCATGGATCTCACCGAATCACACCACAGAGAACCAATAAAAAATTCTGAAGAACAATGGAAGATGTGAGAACCAGGAGAGGAGCTGAAATAGCTCCAGATCACCACTTAGTTGTGGCCAATTTAAAACTGAAGCTAAAGAAGCACTGGAAAACTGGAGAAACACCATCACAAAGGTTAAATACAGCCATCCTTCGAGATAATGATAAACTCAACGAATTCAAGATAACTCTTGACAACAGGTTGCAAGCCTTACAGGATCTACTGAACTAAGAAGAAACTACGATGGAGGACAACTGGAAAGGGATCAAGGTGCTGAGCCGCAAGAAGCAACATCATAAGGAATGGGTCTCTATGGAAACCATGCACAAGACTCAAGGAAGGAAGAACAAGAATACAGCAATTAACAACAGCCGAACACGAACAGAGGAATTCAAGACCAAGCTGAATATACAGAAGCAAACAAGCAAATGAAGAAGAGCATTGGAGCCGACAATCAGAAATACATGGAGGACCTAGCAACGACAGCAGGAAAAGCTGCAGGAGAAAGAAGTATGATATAACGAAGAAACTAGTAGAGAAATATACTAAACCAGAGAGACCGGTCAAGGACAAAGAAGGCAAGACAATCACGGAGATTTAAGAACAGAGGAAAAGATGGGTAGAACACTTTGAGGAACTCTTGGATAGACCTGATACCAGTCCCTAAATACCAGCTGAAGCTCTGAAGTCAGACAGAGGAGTAACTACGAGTATGCTTCACGTTCCGGTCAGAAATATTTGAGAGAAAGAACAAGTGTTGACGGGTTGAAAAGGAGGATACCTCATCAAGATACCAAAGAAAGGAAATCTGAGCAAATGTGAGAACTGCAGAGGCATCGCACTACTGTCAGTATCAGGAAACGTTTTCAACAGAGTATTGCTGAACCAGATGAAAGACTCAGTAGACGCCCAACTTCGAGATCAACAGACTAGATTCCGTAACGATTGATCGTGCACAAACTGAATCGCCACACTACGGATCATCATTGAACAATCATAGATTACGGAAACCACCAAACTATATCAAAAGGCAAGCCCTAACTTGGAATCCTAAAGGGAAACGGAAAAGAGGAAGGCCAAAAAAAACACTGCGTCGAGAATTGGAAGCAGACATGAAAAGGATTAACAGCAACTTAAAAGGACTGCTCAAGAGAGAGTTGAATGTAGAGTATTGGTGAGAGGCCTATGCTCCTCCACGTAGAGTAACAGGTGTAAGTGAGTAAGTAACTAGTCTGAAACTTCTCAGTAGTACGTAGTCACAACTTCACCGTTGGTAGATTCCAAGATCTTTATGTGGTTAAGTGAATGCTTAATCGTTGGACTATTGAGTCACAATTCAATTACGTTTAAATTCCGTTAATTTTACCCTCAAGATTTGAGTATTTTATCTATTTAGTAACTTCGATGTTGTTAACCCTCAGATCGCTAGTCATTTAATCAACATTATTGTCATAACCAACAAGATTCAGTTCTTAACTAGACATTCATAATTTCTCACCTCTTGTAAAATGAATACATTTTTCTAAGTACTGTTTGATTTTACGCTCTCACTCTCCCTATTTTGTAGACAAATTTAATTCCTTTGTTCATAGATTTTCCACACAACAACTAATTTGCTCTTAATTCGTTCTTCTATTTTTTTGCTTTAGCTTCTAAAAACTTCCCTTGATCTATGGGGTATTGATATATTTGAAGTAGATCAACTTACTACTAATCCACTAACGTGTATATTTTATAATATTGTACAGGTAGGTTTTTAAAATTTCATCATCTTATTTATTTGCTTATGTTTCAACTGTATTATTTTCATACTAGAATAATGATAGTTCGATAGTTCCACGACCTGATCAGAGAATGAACCCAGAACTTTGTAATCTTTCAGTGAATGCTTAACCTTTAGACTATTGAGCCCGCACTGTTACATACCTGTCTAGAAGTTAAGTGAGATCTAAGGACCTGGGTTCAATCTACAATAGGGTCCTGGATATGTACCACTGAATAGTCTTAGTTCGATACTGATCAAATCCATTAGCTTTTATGCCTAGAAATGACTTGGATTTTTAATTACTTAATGTTGAACGTTCAGTTGGCAATGTTTGTCTTTTTTACTCGATTTAGACTAAAAGGTATACTGCAAAATAACTAAATAACAACACAGACGTATGAACGAAAAATATTCTTTTTAATAAATCGTTTTAAGTTTCTGTTCATTGAAAAAAATATTCTTCCTTTGAATATCTGTGTTTTCATTATGATGATAATTTTTCAGCTGTTAAAATCTACTTGTAAATAGATAATGAATATTCGGACTCAGTTTTTGTACAGGGTTCATCAACTTTTGTCGAACCGTCAGAAAATTTTCAACTAAGCGACAAAGATGAATAATGGAATAATAGAAGTTGTACACATATTTTTTGAACATTTCAAGAAAGAAGGTATTTTTGACTTAATCCTTAAGTCAGATTCTTTGAGGGTCTCTTCGCAATGGTATAGAAATGTTCTTCAAACATTTTTCATTTGTCTTCTCATAAGTCATATAATACATGTGTTTTCAACATGATGTTACATTCAGTTTCTGACAATCTTTACTTTGTCTCCGCGATCTATCCCAATGTAAGCCACTTAAGATTATGATGGTTCTGTTAGACGAAATTTCAACGAAAAGTTCTACAGAACAACTTCAGATATTCATGTTTCGCTGTACAGCACTTTAGAAAATCGATCCTCGCATTCTCTATTGTAAGCAATGTCGTGAGGATTATGATTCTGAGGCTTGTAAATGTTTGTAATTGACTGAGTCGAAAAGCTTTTTTGCCCAAAACACCGGAGTAAGGTACCCGAATTCGGTCAATTCTCAAAGTCCTCAAGCTCACGAATGGCAGATTCAAAATGACTGTCCAAATAAAGTGTATTCGCATCCGAGACCAAAGATTCTGAGTTTGATCCGTGCAGGCGGGTTCCTGATTCGCTGTGCTGAGTTCCATACTAGAAAGAAACAGATATTCAGTTCTTCCTGGTTTTCAGTGATGGTTTAACTAAGATCAGTTCGTGGATTAATTTACGAATACATGTGGTAAACAATAAAAGAACAGTTAGCTTGACAAAAGTCAATTTATTCAATGACATGAAAAGAATTAATACCAATTACCAATAAGTAGAACAGTTATAAATAAAAACTTCATAGTCATCATTCATCGTTAAGGCATACCTGTCATCTTAAGAGAATTGCTACACTCTATCGGGTAGGTCAACGTAAACATTTTCTAAGGTGATTTATGTGATGACACTGGACTATTATTTATCGAGATAGTTATAATAATCATAATAGTTATAATAATAGAACTCGTTTACATAGTGAACGTTTATGTATTCGGCTCTGAACTAGGTTATTTGTGTGTGAGACCTAGAGATATTACACATCTGCCAAAATCAATTTAGATGGAGTGGTTTGTTGATCTCACATTGACGGGTGATATAACAAATTATACAAAATCACTACAAAGAACTTAACTTTGAACCAATCTGCAGGAAATCCGTTAAATCAAATTGTAATGGTCAGTTCACTAGTCACTTGCTTCAAAACGTGCTTGATTTTCTAATGATAAGTTAAAACCGGTGGAGTTTAGATTTGTCGGCAAAGAAACATTTCTTATTTATAGCACGAGATGGTCATAACGCTATATTGCCAACTGTTTAAAATAAAAAATTTACCCTGGATGCCGATTCATAGATTCTATTCGATCTCTCTGATAGCCGCAATTCATATATTCTATAAGACTTATGAAAACTGGCTATATCTAAGCCATCCAAACAGGATTCACAAATGTAAACTAAGACTGATCATAATTCTGTCAAGGACATAAATAACAGGACAATTCAAGCTATAACAAACTAAATTAATTTCTTACTCACTGTACAAGCTTCCTGAACTCACTAACGCAGTCGATAATGCATTTTATGTCCGAAATGAAGGATACTGGGTTCAAGTCCCAATGTGAATTTCAGCACTAGGACACAAGTACACGCAGTTCAAAATAAGATGGAACTCTCGTACTAGATCCCATTGCTTAGCACAATCCATCTATTCTATAATCCTGAAAGGATATGTCTTAAAACCTGAAAGTCCTAGATTGGATCCTTAGTAGGGTTGTAAGTACTCACTCTTAGAAAGCTAAATAATAGGACCAAACAGCTGTCTAGTGGCCCCTCAATTTCAATGGTAACCCAAATAAGATCAATCTGTGACGAATACACCTTACAAACTAAGCCAATTTCCACTAAATCCTTTCTACTAAATATTCATCTCTATATAAAATAAATTATATCAGTTGCAAAATCTACTTTATTATTTTATCATCAAATATTTACTTGTTTTTATTTATTTATTTTACTTTACAGAAAAGAAATCTTTTGCAAAAATTTGCTATACCTGAACGTAATTTACTTCTATACATGAATGCTGTTGAAGAGAAATATAACGATAATCCGTATCATAATCGTGTTCATGCAGCTGATGTTGTACAGTCAACACATGTATTATTAAATGCACAATCATTAGAGGTAAACCACAATGTTATATTATCATTATTAATTCTAGTTTATTTATTACGGTTTGTGTGATATATAATGTAGCTCTTCTTAGATGATTAGTTGATTGGTTAAAAGTTGTTATTTCAACACATACTTTGAAAGAAAAGATGAATGATGGCTAGCAGTGGAATCCAGGATGCAGGTTTCATCCTATTTGGTGAATTAACCTGCATCTCAGAGTTGATGTTCACTCTGGGAGTCGAACCTGGTACAGTTCACTTCAGACGCCGAGATGTAGATACATCCAGCTGACGAGTTTCAAATATAACGAAACTCGCGTCCGGAATTTCTCTGCCAGATACCATCCATCTTTGCTTAGAATGCTTCTGACTTAACGCGATATCGAAGTAATCCGCACAGGATGTACATACGTCGATAGGAAACTGATCAATTACAGTCATAAACATTAATGGAAAGATTCAAACAGACAATACAAAATGAATTTACATACTTTGAAACATAAAAGCGAATAGTATTTTAAAAATTATTACATTATTATCATTAGAATAATCTATTTTCTGATGTTACGATTATCTTTGTCTCCTCGCTTACGTTATCTTCATGAATCTTGACTATCTCATTTCGATTGGGTTTGTTTGTTCATTCGAGTGATCATCATTTATGAGATTGATTTACATTTTGCTGGTGTTAATTAATAAGTTGTAAAGATGTCAACACGCTGACTGATTGTAAATTGACCTAAATGTTATCCTCATTGGGAAAAAAAGCTACATTGACATTCTCCATTTAGCATAACAACAGTTTCCTTATTAAATTTGTATCTATAGTATACTCTGCCTACATAAATTTAAGTGTCAATAATATGTTGTGTTGTTTCACTGTGTTAATCTATGTTTGTGTATGCATACATGAATTTCAAAATTCAAACATCATCAATAAAGTTTACCTTGGTAACAGCACTTGAAAAATATTGAATAAACGGAAGTACATGTACGGTGATTTTTTTACAGACAATTAATACTATCTATGTCAAATTTTACGTCTGTTGGCATAAACAGTTAATGTAGATTACTGAAACTTTAGGGTTTACATAATGGACTAAACTTTGTTAAACGATCATTGATGATCAGAAAACACTGAACAGATATTTCATTTTAGTATGCCGCTCCTTAGAAGTGAGTATCCATCACCTCATTGGTCACAGTAATCTAATGTCTTATAGCATATTCGTAACCCTTAAGTTACCAAGTTGACATTTAGTGATTTACACTTATAACTATATTCCAATGTTATTTATATGTAACTAACACGGATCCAACATAGTTGAATCTTTCTTTTATATATATTACCACCATTGAATTAACTACTTCTATGAATTCGGTGTTCATCTTGTTGTGGTAATGAGGTATGGCAACTTGGACCGATTTATATATGTGCCTGGTCCTACGTTGCAGCTGACTGACTGACTGTGATGTAAATGACTTTCATACTTGCTCTATTTGAATAATTCCTAATGAGTTAACTGTTCTTCTATCAACTACATTTGATAGATTAAGATCAGTGATAAATTAGTTATAATAATAGAATCTGATCTGTTAAATGTCAATAACATACCATCAGCTATGATTTAAACAAAATACTTGAAAAAGGAATCTAAGATCTTGTTAAAAAGTTAAGTTTGTTTTCTATCAATTAGAATTCGATCATTTATATCCATTCATAATCTAAGTGATGTCTTTTCTTTAAACAAATATTCATTCTTTGTACTTTATTTCCATGTTTTAAATTCTCATTGAAATAGACATGTTTATTCTTTGTGTTTTGTTTTGTTTTGTTTTACTTTTCATGTATTTCCTCACATTCATGTAATATATATATATATACATCATACATGTCTCTTATCAATTATGGAAATATCATCAATCTCCATTCATCAGTCTGTATTTACAGATTTAGAAATTTTCACAGTACTATTTGCATGTGCTATCCATGATGTCGGTCATCCAGGGGTTACAAATCAATATTTAATTAATACAAGTAAGTTTTCATTTCACGAAAATGTGTTATTATAAATGGGGGTTTTTTTTCTTGATGATTTTGTTGGATACTATGGTTTAAATCAATAATTGACATAAATCAGGAACACTGAACAGTTGTAACATTGTAGAATGAGATTTCTTAATAGTGTACCTTCATCACTGTACCATAGACAGAATCCTGATGCCTTCAAATCTTTCAGTGAACACTTATCCTTGAGATTATATGTACATTTCTAATTTCAATTAATTCGTGAAACTGTATTATCATTTAATCAATAGTATTAATGACTAACTACCTCCTATCCGACATGTCTAAACATAAATAGTTACGGCTCCTCATTAGAACTCTGGGAATTATTTATTGACGATAAAACTATAAGTCATTATTGATTAATTCCTTAATCAATAGTTGATATCTCTTTTAAAATGATTAGATAATAAACATTGTTTTTTCAAAGATACATTTCATTGTTGTCTGTTCATATGGGATAAGAACTTAAACAATATCATTATTCATCTTTCTTGATGAATGTGAATTTGAGAAAAAATGGGGTTGGGAAAATATCTTACTCAAGTCTTCTACTGAATGAATTAAAGTTGATAAACTTATCGTTTATAAAAACAAACATCATTTACTTTTGTATAAACAATAGTTATATTATTATTCTAAGAGTATATATTTCCCCCTCCTTTTATATTGATATGTGTCAATAAATATGACCTATTCTTGTTGTTATATGAACGTTTTTAACAGATGATCCGATTATGTTTATACTTATGAGCTTATTATGTTTTGTTGATAATAGCCAGGAAAGGAATTATATATGTCAGTTTCATTCTATTATGGATTTATCAAATAGATAAACTATCTCAATTTCAATATTCTTGCTTATTTTACTACTCAAGGGTTTGAAGGACTAGATATCAACGTATGAATCTCGGTGGAAATATTAACATTAGGATAGAAGTATATCTAGATGAAACGTTCTAAAAATTTCCAAAAAAATTCATCACATTGTTAAATCATAAAGTACAATCAAATGAAATACATTCGTATTGTAACATTTGATTGATTTCAATAAACAAATTTATCCTAAGTTGATTAGGTACTTATAGAAGATCAGTCAATTACTCAATACCTCAGTAGTGATATCTTAAACTGACTGACAATAGTTTGAATCCTACTGACAGAATTAGATCCTTTTTAAGATTGTAAGTACATCTTGCTGATGAGTCTCAACTCTCATAAAACCAATACCAATCAGTGTTTCGTACACAATAACTTTTACCACTTAACAAATCAATCTATACTGTTACATCAGTTAATCAGATATCATTATCATCATTAAATTTCAGTCTTATTCATTGAAATTTAACGATCTGTAAAATTTATCGACTGAATACACGTTTGTTAACCATAAAGGTGCTACCATCGAATTGAACACTTTACATTCACCAATACAAATAATAGAAAGTTTAGTTACCTTAATGATTTCACTGATTGAAATCATCAGTCAATTGAAGCTGGACCATCATGGAAAACCTGGAAGCACTGGTCTAGTTCGTTAAGCGCTTGGGGCGAGACTGATAGGTCCTGGGTTCGAATCTCTCGGGGTGCGGGATTGTGGATGCGCACTGCTGATGAGTCCTATACTAGGACGAAACGGCTGTCCAGTGCTTCCAGGTTTTCCATGATTATCTAGCTTCAACTGACTCATGATTTCAATCAGTGAAATGTTTAAAAATCTCCACAAACCCCTTCTGACTTTAATGATTGTTTGGTGGTAACTGAAACATTTATGTTATTTATTTTCCCTTTTAAATGAATATATTTGTACTACAGCATTGACGTTTTTGTATAAGTGCCTTGTTATCAGTTTTATTTGTATGAGATGATCTTGTTGAATAAATTATTACATTTAAAAACAACTGTTAGTTAGACATGATCAGTAAGGGGTCTAGTACAAATATACATTAGACCAAGTTGTCACATACCATATCAACATGTTGACATGATATTCATAAGACAAATAACAAAAGAATCGAAATAATACTTATTGTAATGAACAAATATAATAATGGATTTGATCCTGATTTGAAATAATAATGCTAGATTAGACTGGTTGCTCGGTCGATATATTACATATAGACTGGATGTTGTGCCCAAACAGATGATTCACGACCAATAATAGGCTAAACAATAATTTGCTTGACAAAAATACTAACGGTTTATATTGAAAGTGTAGTTATAATATCTGTACAAATTACAGATTGAGATAGTTTATATTCACTTGTGAACTAGTCACAGACCGCAACAATACTAATATTAACAATGATAAGAAGTCCTATACTGGGACGAAATGGTTGTTCAGTGCTTCCAGATTTTCAGCGGTGATCAGCTTATAATTTAAGCCCTGAAAATTCCACAATCCTTACGAATACTATGAAAACTGAAGAGTAAAGTCTGGAAAGTAGATATAAGTTCCATATATAATAGATACAAAGGTAATACAATCATACAAGAAGTTATCAGAATACATTGTTTTCTATAAGGTTAGGCTGAAAGATTCCAAATGAGTGATTTTCATGGTTAGGCATTCGGCCCAAAACTTGAAAGTTCTGGATTTAATCCCGGACGAGGTTGCAAGTTTTCACTGTTAACAAATCCTACACTACGATAAGATAGCTGTTCATTGCTTCCTAGTTTTCAGTGGTACTGTAGTGGGAGCTACTTATATCCACATAAGTAGTATATAACGATGGTCAGGGATAGAATGTATTTCAGAAAAAGATCTGGAAGGGAAGGATGGGAACGGAAAGCAATTGGTATGAAAATGCACGAACAATGAAATTTGAGACAAATGATTGATATTTTGCAAATTAACTATTCACTTTATGGTTCTCAAATACGTCCGCTTGTCCCCACCCGTGTTCTTGTTCACTACAGTACATCCAACTGACATCAATTTGAGACGAATACAAACTAAAAGTTAAAACAATCCTTGTAAAATCTCTTCAACTAGAAAAAAATCACTAAAAATTAATGACCATTAAACAGTTCTTTTTTCCTCAACTATTTAAAATTAACAAATAATTTATTATTGTTGACCTTAACTCATTTTTTTATGTGGCTTAGCATAATCAAAATGCGTGATAAAACTCTTTCATTAGTTGAGATCATGAGATAATTGAAACTAGACATCACTATGGAAAACCTGAAAACATTGGACGACCATTTCGTTCTATTGTAGGACTCCTCCTCCTCGGCAACGCACATCCACGATCCCGCCTCGAGGGATTCCAACCCCTTCTGATAATAAAATTCTTTATCAAAATAAAATATAATTATAAATTTTCCTCTTGTACTACACTGTTCTGTTATTATCATTATTTTTTTCCAAAAATATTATCATCATTTAGCTCTTATTTAAAAGGAAAATAACTAACTAAATTCATAGTCTTATTTTATGAATTCCAAATGTTACTATCGGATGATTTAATTCATCCTTACACAACGTGAATATATAGTCCCTCTCTGATTGATTATACAGTTTCCAATTGTTTATGTCTTACATTAGAAAAATGCATACTTATGCTGATAGACCAATCATAAATTATTATTATTATTGCTATCATTTTTATAATCAATTAACGATCTCAGTAAATTGATAAACTCTATATGAGAATGTAGACAATACTTACTGATGATAGTACGAAGATCGATTACAATTCCGTTGTGAACATCAACAATAGGACAATCAATACAAAGAAGTATAGATAAATACTCAACGAATATTATTATTATCATTATTATAGTATGCTTGCATGTTGTAACGTTGAGGGCAGTCGATAACAAGTCCTGTTTGATATGGATTCCATGTTATTTGCCACTTGTCAACAAAACATGCATCCATGTTGCCGAACATTGGAATCTGATACGTTACTATTGAACTATTTGGACTACGACCAATCTTGTAGACCTTGGTTAACTCCATTGACGATGATGAAATGATGGTAATAAATAATGAACTATAGATCCTTATTAAATTCATATATATTCTGTCAAATGACTTGTCAGTATCAAAAAGAAATAAAAACTTCAATCTGAATAATACTGAGGATGTTTGAATTTTATACACTATTTAGCAGACAGAAATAAGAATAAATGAATAGATGTAGAGTAGTGGACTCTAATTATTACTAGCCAAAGATGTTTAGTTAAGTGTGTAATTCAGCTTACATATAAAAATAGATAATGCATAAAATATATAAGTAAGACTATAGAAACATGACAAATCACCGCATACATCTGTATAGAAAAACGTGCAATAGATCTAACCACGAAAAATATGAGAAATCGTATTTACACACATGGTCACAAAATATTTGGTCGATTTAAGTTGACATATTTATTGATTAGACTTGTTTGAATAAAAATGGATTGTTTAGAGGTTTGGTAAGAACGGACTGCTTCAGATGAACGATAGAATTTAGTCTACATTAAAAGACTAAATAACCATGACACTGGTCCCCCATACTCAGTGATCAATCAACTATGGGTAAGTTTATGTTTTAGTTTTGTATCGTTTAATTCTCATGACATCATAAAATCGTGAAAACAAAATTTAAAAGAAAAACCCAGAACGATAAAACATACTATCTATCAGTAACATGTTGTTCTTTTTTCTTTGCTTTCCTATAGATGATCAATTAGCAATTCTATACAATGATTCATCTGTATTGGAAAATCATCATTTAGCTATAGCATTTTCCCTATTAGGTCAACCAGGTCATGATGTTTTTGAGAACTTTCCACGTAAACAACGACTTAGTTCTAGACGTATGATCATTGATATGGTAAGTTAGAAAAGTACTATTATTATTATTATTGTGATGTTAAAATAAGAAATATTAGTGTTGTTATAACATGTGACCGCGGATTAGAGAGCAGTGAATTATCAATTGGACCATGGACACGTAAAACACGTGAGAGCAGCCTAGAGTCCTGATTGGTCCTGCTTTCCGCCTAGCCCAGCCAGTTAAGTCCAGAACACCAGTCCGAGCCTCTGAGATATGAATCATTTGTTTCAAACATGCTGAATTTATATACCAATCAAACAGACTACAACGTACCAATAAAATATGAAACAACATTTGTACAAGAATTAGCCAGATGTGGCTGTGAATGAGGGAGATAGTAATTGATAGACTGGATATAACTCAAGAATGGTAAAACGTATAATAATACTTTATAGGCCAAAATAAAGCTTATAATAAGAAGATCATGAATATGCATAGTTTAGTTACTTAATAATTATACAATAGAAATATACATTTAGTATTGGTCCATCAATAGATCCCAAAAGTTACCATTTATTATTGTTGTCGGGACATAACAAGTATTATAGACAATTCAGCGAAGGAAATGTTCTATTCAACTAAATCATTTACTTAAGCTGTTGTTTTTCTTTATATCTGTCAATTATTTAACTCGTAAATTATTTTCATCCTTATATTATTTTCTTACCCCTTGACTATTACTTACTTACGCCTGTTACTCCTAATGGAGCATAGGCCGCAGACCAGCATTCTCCAACCCACTCTGTCATGGGCCTTCTTTTCTAGTTCCATCCAATTCTTGTTCATTTTACTGGGATCTGGTTTCCTTGACTATTGAGTAACCTTATTTGATAACAAGAATCTTGAATCGATTTATGATGCTACATTTTCTATCCTTCTATAGACATATATTTTCCATATACAAATGTACAGCTTAATTAAATGATTTCGTCGAAAAGAAAAAGAATTTTCTTTTGGCTGAATTCTCTTCATTTTTATTTGATAAGCTATGTCATTTATAATAACGGCTTGAATTATCCCATTGTTAATGTTGTGGATCACCGTGAGAATTGCCTTATTTTATACTTTATTGAATTTAACAGTGAAATCCACGATACATATTTCGTCCTATTTTGAACTCTTCAGTTAGGTATACCCATATCTTAGTTTTATTATTCGAATTGAGACTCAAACCCAGTTCATTTCGCTTCAAATATCAAAGTCCTAGTCTATTAAGATAATGAGTTCAGATAACTTGTTCATTTTATATGATGTTTATGTCATTATTAGTCTCAAATAGGACGAAACCATCGTCATAGATTCTAATTTTATACACAGTCTACCAATTCCCAATCAAAATTATTCTCAACTGAAGTATTCAATCTTCTCTAATATATTGAGCTTTAATTTACCAAAATTCAAAAGGTTCGAGAAATGACCTAAAGTTTTGGCTTTTTCTAGTGGTAATTTTAATGAAGCACTATCAAATAGGTCAAGTGCTTCCAGTTAAGTTGGATAGTAGGCAACAGTAGAATCTAGGATGTGCATTTGGTTGAAGGTCAAGTACCTTGTTTAAAATGTGATGAAAAATGATAAGTAATTTTGAACAAGATGATAGAAGAAACAAGTTTTTGATGTAACTTTGAATAATATGTTTTAGGCTCACTCAATTAACAACTTATAATATGAACTGATCTATAAACATTAGACTGAAAACACTGCCTCAATATACTCGATAATAAATCAGATAATTATTAGACCACTAGATTAGATAACATAACACACAACTCCCGATCAGCAATTGAGAGCTAGATAACATGAGAGAGAAATCCTGAGTACAATACAGGGAAATCAATAGTGAGAGGGATATTATAACATTATATGTCTATCTGTCTACAAGCTCAGTAACCAATCCCCACTATCACGTGACGTGTCGGTTTTTTTTCTTATTGTACGACCGAGTTATGTAACGCATTGATTTTGATAACACAACTCATTCGAAATGATTGATGGCAATTGTTACTACATAAGCGTTTTTTTTTGAAAAATCCAGTTTGATAGTAATGAATTGTTTGTTTAACAGAAATATGGAACATCCATTAGATTGGCTATCTATATTTATTATCAGAATGGGTTTTGTGGAGATTTTTTAGAAATTTCACTAGTTGAAATCATGAGTTAATTGAAGCTAGACCACCATGGAGAACCTGGAAGCACTGGACAGCCGTTTCGTCCTAGTAGGGGACTCCTCAGCAGCACACCATTGTCTTCGGTGAGTTCCTATCTCACAACAGACCTGGTTGAACTCCACTGGTAACGACTTCTCACGGTGGCGCAATTTCGTGGATTGGTTGAAGTTAGACATTAACACCGTTGGATGCCGGCTCAGTGGTCTAGTTGGTTAAGCGCCTGGCGCGAGACTGATAGGTCCTGTGTTCGAATGTGCGCACTGATGAGGAGTCCCACATAATAGAACGAAACGCCCGTCCAGTGCTTCCAGGTTTTCCATGGTGGTCTAGCTTCAATTGACTCATGATTTCAACCAGTGAAATATCTATATTTATGCACCAGAACGACACAAAAAGAAATTAGTTTTCAAAATCTCTCATGTTGTCTATTTCTTTCTACTTGACTAATCTAATAATTGAGAAAGTAGTATCTTTGTCCAATGTCCATTTAAAGATCATACAAAATTATCGGGGAATCGAACCTCAGGACCTTTATGTTTAGAATGGTGTATGCTTAACTATTCGATCATTGGGTTAAAGCCTATTGGTATTTACATTTTCAACATTAACCGATTTCACAGCCTTTATCCAACACATTCCAAATGACAACTAGAATTTCAGGACCTCATTCTTGGAAGTAAACTATTAATGTTCACACGACTATAGTTCTGTTGGAAGAATTCTATGGAGACTAAACCTTAGATAAGTTGGTAATATTTCGAATTATTCTTGTACCAAATGATGTCTTAATGTTACTCTAAAAATGTAATGTTTTTTTTTATTAAAAAAACTAGGTTTTAGCTACAGATATGTCCAAACATATGAGTTTGTTAGCTGATTTGAAAACAATGGTTGAAACAAAAAAAGTTGCTGGATCCGGTATACTTACATTAGAAAACTATATTGACAGAATGCAGGTAAATTATTGCATTGTCTTTTATATATTGATTGTGTGAGTTTCGTCCCACTGTTTTTTTAAAAGATATTTGTAATAAAACAAACCGAATCCATAGTTTTTCTGTCAGTATGAGGTTATAGAGGTAGTTGACTTCCACACCGTTGGATACCGGCTTAATGCCTAGAGGTTAGGCGTCTGTGCACGTGACCGGAGGTCCTGGGTTCAGCTCCCGCTTGCAGATTCGTGGATACACACTGCTGAGGAGTCCTATATTGGTACGAAACGACCAACCAGTGCTTCCAGGTTATCAATGATGGTCTAAATTACATGACAAAACTTTTTTTCTTGTATGATAAATGATGTTTTTTAGTAAACGGAATACACCCATTGAGATATTAAATAAGAAAAATTGATTCAGTGAAGAGTTCTTTTCTCGGCGAATTCATTTTTAAAGCTGTACAATCGCTAGTATATATACATACTTTTTTTCAGGATGATAATAATTACAATAATTACCATAATAATTATGATAGATGTCGGTTAGACATGGTGACAGTGAGGTAGAATAAACAAAGGTATTTAAAAAAAATTTTTGTTCTTAAACAGGGAAAACAATAATCGTTTGATTGTTAAGGCCTTAAATACTCATCGTAAAGATTGATAGGGAGATTATAATTAAGAAAGGAAGGCTCAGCATAATAAGATAAAATATTGAAATTGAGATTAAATGTAATCAGGAGGATCATACAAACATAAATATACCAGTTGGTGATAGAAAGTTTAATAAGAAGATGGAAGGGGAAGCAGATTGCCGCAGAGGAAGAAGAGTATTATCATCTTGAAAAATAAGTAAATATATTTGCGATTGTACAGCTTTGAAAATGAATTCACCAAAAAGAGAACTCTTTGTTGAACCAATCTTTCTTATTTAATAAATGATGTTAACCTAAAACTATGTCTTTAATTTGAACACTGAGGCTGACGAAAATTTGAGTCCAACAAGGAGTATAGGTTTATAAAAAGTTTGAAGTAATCAACATGAAATTTCGGATCTAAAATTAATGCTAGTTGACAATCATCAGCATGATGTACTTAGCTTTCTGAAAGAACTGGTGCTTCCTATAGGATTCAAACTTGAGTCAATCAACTCTACAGTTTGAAACGTGAGCAATGAGTTATTCCTTCTTCAACTTAATCGATAGATATTGATCAGTACAAAAAAGCTAAGTAAATATGACATCATTCATTAATTAGTGATAAGTTATTTAGAAGTATCAGTTCCTTAGAGATTTTAGATATTACCTTGTTGACTTAAAAGTTTCAACTATACCTTAAAATTTACATTTAAGGTCTCTTTTAAATGTCATTCAATCATGTATAACGTCTAGAACAATAAATCTCCCCATGTTTAAATTATATTAATAAATAGTACTTATGCATATTTTTTTCGACTGTTATCTTGTCTCTATTAATTGGAAAATTCAAGTGACTGGTACTAGTTAACTCGTTTACGTTCCAACTGTTTTCCACAATTAAAAAAAAAGCAATTTTATATAAATTATTAATTGTAGAATAAGTAAACCGAGATTTATATTTATATTATCACTAAGTTTCTAATACTATATTTAGATAATAAAGCTATAAGCTACTGCCTAATTGATAATGACCTAAACAATTTTCACTTTAATTGAGCACACTGATAAGGATTGAATCGAAATAAGATAGACGGCTTCTATCCATGAATAGACCAACTTTAACCTCATCAGGTAGATTAACAAAAATAACAAAGATAACCATGTGAAATCTCAATAAGTGAAAAGAAATCAAATATTCGATCATTCGAATCGAAAATATACCTACCAATCAGTCAACATAAAATCTGGCAATAGATGTGCATTGGTCCAAGTAACTGCATCACATCAAGTACAGTGAGATGAAACTATCAACATAAATAATAATGTCGGGAAAGTAGATGCAGTATCAGTAATAGATAAAGAGAATATGATTCACGACGAGAAAATAAATTCTCAGAATAAAAAAATAATCACATGACCCAAGATCTAAAGCAAAACAAAACGTAAACAAATCTCCATTATGATTGGTCCTCGTGCACATCTCAGTCATAATAATAGTGCGGACCACAACCACTTCTGAATCTACCGATATGCCTTAGATCAAGGATCAATAGCCGTACTCACCATTGAACAGGACTCAGTGTCTAATTGATAAGATGGGAGAGTCTAAACTTGTATACAAGTCAGACGACTCATATGATGTTTTAAGGTCAAATGTCAAGTAACAAAATGTAAACAAGCCACATTATTACAGGAAATCCATTATGAATCTTATTGAAACTTCAGCTTGCATGTCCTTGCCTAGGTCAGAAAGATAAATGTATTAATACAATTGATTTTTGTACATATTCGCTCGCTTTTGCCAATCACAGCTTCTTGATCACTTCTTAGCTTTCTCACTTGCATAGTTTATTGTCTAAATGTATAGTAAGCGTGTATTACAAATACAATATTATAAAAAAATATAATTGTTACAAGAAAAGGAAAGAAACTTTTTTATCAGAACTATCTCTATTGTTTATAAATTGAAAAGCTCGAAATTTATCCAAAAAATCATGCTTATCATGCAACTTCATCAACAGAAGTGGTAAAATCTAAATCAAATGGTTAATCATAATTGACGAGTTATCATCGATTTTAAATCTGACTGACTATATGAATATGCGAGTTTAATTAAACAATTTTCAAACTAATCAATCTCGAGATTCACTTGGTGTTGTCTTACTTGTATCTTCCCATTGTTATTTAGGACTGCGATTGATCAGTCCCATGTTGGCATATGTGCATCCTGTGCGGATTGCCTCGATATAGCCTTAAGTCACTCCCGGAAAATCAACTCTGGGATGCAGGTAAATCCAGCTGACGATTTCCAAATAGGACGAAACACGAGTCATGGATTACACTACTGGCCACTATCCATCTTTGCTTAAAAAGCTTGTGACTTAAGGCTATATCGAGGCAATCCGCACAGGATGCACATATGCCAACATGAGAGTGATCAATTTCAGTCCTAAATAACAATGGAAAGATATAAGTAAAACAACAAGTGAATTTAAACTTCACCCCATCACACAAGCAGGTGGCTATCAGGACTGAGTAGCTAGGTGGATAACGCGATGGCAATTGAAGCGAACGTTACTGGGGTCGAGTCCTCGAGTGAACATCAACTCTGGAATGCAGGTACTTCCAGCTGACAAGTCCCAAATAAAACGAAACGCGCATCCTGGATTCCACTGCTATCCACTACCCATCTTTGCTTAAAATAGTCAATCTTTGTTACAAAAGATAAGGTATAACTTTCCTAAACATAACGATCAATTAATTAGGGATTTTTACACATTACCTTGAGCTTATCGTTTGATTAAGATCATAAAAAGGCAACTTACAACTAATTAACAAGTTATCTTTCAATACCTTGTAAACATATTACTTTAGATTCTAAGATCAGGAGTGTTTAGAGAATGAAATTATTTCTGTATTTATGAACACAGCGTTTTTAAAAAAAGTCAAATCTCATAAGACTAAAAGGTGATTTTTAAAGTTTACATGACAAAGTGATTTTAGTTAGACAACTATTGAAAACAAAACAAAAAAATGCACTTGATATATGTTTCATCGTAGTGTGGGACTCCTCAACAGTATAAATCTACGACTCTATCCGAGATTAAACCTATAACAGGATGAAATAGTTATTCAGTGCTTCCTAGTTTCCAATAGTTATCTAGCTGAGATCAGTTCGTAACATTATAAACTATGATCCTCAATAATCTCTACAAACCTATTTCATTAATAAAAGTTAAATGGTTTACAATAATACATGAGTGTAAATTAGTATCCAAGTATAGATACATGTTCTCAAATATAAAATAAGCATAATTTGAGTGTTAATGATACTGTACGAATAAATTTAGTGTTGAGACATTAATTGCTTAGACTATTAAACTGTAATGTCAACTGATCAAGCAACAAATTATTCAAACATTTCTTCTTGTCACAGAGTTGTAGATTATTTCTCAAGTCTATAAATTTTATATTTTGGTATGAATCCAGAAATAAATAAATGGTTATGATCATAAATTAACTAATAAACTTAAGCAAACAAGAATCAATCATAAACAAAGAAGAAAACTTTGCTTGGTTTGGATTAGCAAGATAACCGCGATCAATGGTTTAAAACGTTGCGTTACGTAGCTTCTAATCAGTTACAATAGACCAGAGACATTTACAATATAGGAGTAGGTTGAAAGAAAAGATAAGAGAGGAAAAATCTATGATGTGACATCACCCTATGAAGTTATTGACTGTTGCATTGAACTGTGTTGATCAATGAAGACTGCCAGATCACGATCGTCATTATGATTACTGTAACCATTAGTTGAATAATTTAGGTTACATACCTCCGAATCGGTTGCAATGACCCAAATTTTAATTTATAAAATTATCTTCTACTTTTCTATTCTACGAATTCATCCATCCTTTTGAAATCATATTGTCTATTTCGAACTTTTCTTGATAATTTCTATTACACTATACTGATATGATGAAACAACTTGAGTTGATGCACATATATATTCCAGATTCTTTATTGCTTATAACTAACTTAGAAAATCGATTATAACTAGAAAATAATTCATCAAAGTATATTTATTATTTAGTCTTATACATTCATCTCTTTATTACCTCTCCATTAGATTTTACAAAATATGGTACATTGTGCTGATTTAAGTAATCCAGCTAAACCATTAGATTTGTATAGACAATGGACTAATCGTGTTATGGAAGAACTTTTTCAACAAGGTGATAAAGAACGTGAATTAGGCATTGAAATAAGTCCAATATGTGATCGAAATACAGCAACTATTGAAAAATCACAGGTAATTTATATGATACATACATATGATATAATATTTTGTGCTAATTTAAACTTTTCAATTATTTAACTTATTTAACGATGGTATTAATTGAATTCGTGTTAGAAAAAAAGAATTTCAGTGGTTCAGATCATGAGTCAGTTGAAGCTAGACCACCATGGGAGACCTAGAACACTGGACGGCCATTTCTTCCTATTGCGGGATTCCTCAGAAGTGCACATCCACGACCTCGCCTCGAGAGATTTGAACCCAGGAACTACTTGTTTCGCGCGCGAGCACAACCACTAGACCACTGAGTCGGCCGGCATCCAACGGTGTTAATGTTTAACTTCAACTAATCCAAGAAATTGAGCGACACATTCACCATTGTCTTCAGTGAGTTACTATCTCACAACAGACCCGGTTGAAATCCACTGGTCACTGCTTCTCACTAGAACTCCGGGATATAACTCAACAAGGTCAAAATGTGGCTCGAATGAACCGATCTGTCCGGAATCTAGGGTAACTCATGTGGGCTTGGCATAGTACCAGGCCTCCTTAGTATAGGAACTGACAAAACGAGTATTCCAGAGAAAATTGCTTGATTGGGCTATTACAAAAGGTTATCCCAACCAACTAGTTAGCAGTTACATTCAGATTTCCGAATAAGACAAAATGCCTATCCTTGATTCCAATAATATTCGCTATCCAAAAATATAATACAGAACTAAATCTCGTCTCAAACTTTTATTTTTAAAAAAATTCCGCTTCTTCTATAATGCGCTTTTTTTTCAATTTATGTTTGTTTTTATTTTGGTTACTCTTTTATCACTTCTACCACATCTGATGAACAAAATGTGCCCAATTTTACTGACAAATCTGCTATATATCTTGTACATACATGCGCATATACTCAATAGGTCAGCTTTATTGATTATATTGTTCATCCATTATGGGAAACATGGTCAGATTTAGTTTATCCAGATGCACAAACTATTTTAGAAACATTAGAAGATAATCGTGAATGGTATTATAATCAAATTAATGAGAATAATAATGAAGAAAATGATGAATGAATGAATAAATTGATCAAAACCAATTAAACACCTAATATGTATATATATATATATTTATTTATTTATTTGAATCCTGCATTTCTGAATCGGATTTATTTCAAATAATTTATCATTTATTAATCATTCAATTGGAATTGTCTCCTTGTTCTCATACATTTTCTTTTCCATAATGATTATGTTTCATTTTTAATTAGTGATGAATAAGCTTACCTTTCTCTCTCTCTCTTATATGAATAGCAATATCATAAAACACATAGAAACAATTAACATTGAAGATATATATATATATATGTTGATGTATATTGAAATTTTATGATCTTTTATTGAATATTTAGTATTATTTACCATTTTATAATCTGGTTTCATCCTCTATTGTATTCAATATGTTTATGAATAAATAATCAAAAAATATCATATATTAACTATCTTGTACTTTTTCATTCATCCACTCTCTCTATATCTCTCTCTGTGTGTCTCTCGGAATAACAAAGGCATTTTACGTTTTGATAGAACACTGATGACGATTATATCCACTTCATTCTCTCTCTCTCACGCTCTCGCTTCATTATACACACTTCCATGAGGAGTAAAAGTTGAAAATCCTTCTCACATTTCATGATGTATTTATTGTACTTATATGCGTTTAGTTCCATACCATATATATACATATATATATATATATATATATATATATATATATACATAATATTGCTCAATTTCTTTTCGCATTTCCTGATCCCTATTACACTTTCTGTCTATCCCTTAAGTTGAAAGATATATACATCATAATGTTTACAAGTGACAGACATACATTTAAAGGAAAGAAAAATGTGTTCAGAGAAACCTATCATTTTTCATTACTGCTTTACATTGTTTCATGTACATGAATTGTGTGGAGAGAGAGAGAGAAAGAATGCAATTACTGACGTTCGTGTTTTTGATAGTGATCCCCACTACCCATCACCATAACAACGATGTTTTATATGTATTATCTTTCTTTCTTTATATTTTTTGCAAGTATTTTAATAATCATAGTTAATAATTAAAAGACGATAGGAGAACAGATTGATCATCATTTTCTCATTGACTTTATTTATATTTGTTGTATGTGTGTAATCTAATCTCTTTGATTTTATTGTTGTTCTTGTATTCATGATTTCCATCTAACTTTATAAACACATTCAAACATCATTTTCAATAATTGTATATCATAGGGATTATAATAGTTATTTGAAGAAGAAGAAAAAAAAAGACATGACCAGGTACATGTTCTCGTGTATGTATTATGATGAATACTACTTAAAGCCGGCAACCAATCAATCATATATTAATACATTTCTCATTATTATCTTAATCCTTTACATATATCCACATGTCTCTATATCGATTAATCGAACATAATAAACAATTATCTTGGATTATTATCATTATTATTGAATGTTCACAATAATATTTATTAATCATAAAGAGGATGTTGAAGCAATATGTAGAAAATAAAAGGTATACAATGTAATAAAATGTATTGATTTTTTGTTTATTATGGGTTTACTTCTCTTTTTTTGTTTTTTTCTTTCTATTCATTCATCACTGTACTTCATCATTTTATTAACTTTCCTAAGGTTTTCTCACTTTTGTTTCGTCCTCTGACCTTTCTCCACAAGTATATATATATATATATATATATATATATATATATATATATATATATATTTCGATGTGTGACACACACAAACCTAAAAAGTAAGTGTCAGAGGGATTCGACAAGGAACAAATGAGAATAAGCGTAAATAGAAACCCCTTGTCATTTATTCCTCTTTTTTTTCGTTAAACAAAAAGAACTGTTGACTAAACATACAGTTGTTGTTGTTGCTGTATTTTTTTTTCGTTTTGCTTTCCTCTCTACTCCTATCACTACACTTCTTTGTATTCTTTTTACAATCAAAACGAAATGTGTACAAAATATAAATAGCGTTTGGTTTATCAATATTTAAAATAAAAATTGATAGAAACGACTTCTTTTCAACAACAACAACAACAAAAATAATCAAATCGAATAAATTGAAAGAAAACAAGAGAGAAAAAAAGGTAATCAACAATTAGAAAAAGTCTAATTCACCAGGTAATGGTATTAAACCATTATGGCATAGACTGTATAGTCGAGTTTCAATATTGGCCAATAATGAACTAGCTCCAAATCGTAAATAATCTGGATTTATCCAATCAGAGCCAAGAACATTATCGATTAATTGGAGATAATCAATAGCATCTTTAGCTGTACGAAGACCACCGGCAGGTTTGAAACCAACCTAAATGATTTGTTAAGGAATAAGTATTAAAAGTAAATGTTTAAATTGTTGATTTCAAACATTCAAACTGATAAATTGTATTGATTACAAATTGATGACAATTGAGGTTACATTGAAAAAAAAAGAAAGCACTGGACAACGGTTTTGTTCTAGTATGAATCTTAAAAAGTGGGCACTCACTACACTCATACCGACCGAATCCAAGACCTTCAGGTCTCTGTGAATGGTTAACCCTTAGAATCTTTATATCAAGTCCCATAGTACAATTTTAATTCAGGATATAGTTCGATGATCCCTAAGTAGGTCGAGTATGCTCACTAGTGAGATAAACCAGTCGTCCCGTGAGCCCTGACGTTAAATGGTACACTAAGTGAGACTATCTGTGACGAATACAACATACATATGTAATAAATTCCCACGAAACTTTTCAATTAAACTGATAGTTAATGGGTAATAACAAGTGAATGTAAGTTGACCGATTTTATGTATTTTTAATAACTACTGAGCTGACTTGATAAAAAATGCTAAAATAACTGAAGTTGAACCGGTCATTTGTTCATAGAATGGATTTCAAGGCAGTAAAATATTGTTTAAGTGAGTATTTTGGTCAGCTTCAGAAATGAATGAGCAATATCATGGACGATTTCTAAGCGAAAACATTAATATATGAAATAGTTTGTATGCAAAGCTAAAATGTGTTATGATTGAGTAAAGGATTGAGAAGATTCAATGAACAACGCGCTTACAGAACCTTTCCCAAAATTTTAATTAAACGTAAATACTAAGAGATAAAACAACTGATTAAATGAATGAGTATTATTAGTATGAAAAACTTGTGAAGACTCAAATTCTATAGTTTACATCACTGACTGACCCTAGTTAGATAACTGTTAAAAAACCAGAAAGCACCAGACAGCCGTTTCGTCTTGGTATGGAGCTTCTCAGCAACATGCACTTAAGACTTCCACTTGGGTTCGAACTGAAGACCTTCGAGCTCTACGTTAGAAATTCCAATTATTAAATGTTGACTCGGAGACCTAAAGCTTAAGCAGCTGCCCTGAAACCTGAAAGTCTAGAGTCTAACCTCCTCTCTGTGAAGCTTAGAATGCTCACTGATGAGAATTCCAATACTATGATGAAATAGTTACCAAATAATTTTTAGTTTCCAATGATTAAATAATAAGTAGGAATTGAAAACCATCATCTATACACAAAGATAATACGACTTATCAAAAGTTAAATCATCCATCAAAGATCAAAATGAATTTAACAAAGTGACGCCCCCAAATGCCCTGGTACGGCCGAGAGTATGGAGGGCCCGCCCTCCCTCTCGAAGTGCTCTCACACGGCCACGCGTATACAGCCTTTGCGAGGGAAATCCTACTCAGTGAATTCTGGTAGTATTACTATTGTTTACGAAATCGAGAGGACGAAGAGCGAATGTTCGGCGCTTTGACCGGGCCGGTGGACACAGTGAGTCCACCTAGGGGAGTTGGAAAACCCTGATTCCTAACCATTGGTGCACATGGGCTCCAGTATCCTAAGGGGACAAATGGTGTATGAACCTATTATTAGTCATCGGCTACCATGGGACTGCATCTCCTCACGATGCTTCACTAGCTTATGGGTCAAACCCGTAGGTCAAAGGCTCGGGCTGTGGCCCCCTAAGAAAACCACCTGCTTCGGTCTGGGCACCCGGGCAGTATCACAGCCCAAACACACACGAATATGGTGTGGCGCATATATATTTGGTGCACTTTTGTACCAATATTTATATGTTGAAATAAAAATAAATAAATACGCAAATATGAACCGAAAAAAAGATCAATAAAACAAAGTTGAACTGATCACCCTCAAATGTATCATTTAAAGTTCATGAAAATCTCATAGAAATATAGCATTATATTATTTTTAATAATCAATTGCCATTATTATTAGTAGTAGTAGTAGTATAAGGTTGTGTAGATTGTTGAATTGTGATCGAGATCATGAATCGATCAATGTTAGACGACCATTGAAAACCTGGGAGCATTGAATGACCGTTTCGTCCTAGTATTAGACTCCTCATTAGTGCGTAACCATGAGTACGCATGCTCAACCCGAACCCAGAACCTTCGGTCTCGCGCGCGAACAATCAACCTCTAGACCGTTGGACTGTCATCCAACGGTGTTAATAACTAACTTCAACCAATTCAGAAAATTGAGCGACCATCTTCCATTGTCTTCGGTGGGTAACTGCTTCACACTCGGCTCAGTGGTTTAGGGGTTAGTCGTTCACGCGCGAGACTGAAGGTCCTGAGTTAGAATCCCACGTGCATGATTGTGGGTGTGCACTTTTAAGGGGTCCTAAACTAGGACGAAACGGCCATTCGGTACTTTCATGCGTTCAATAATGGTTTAACATTGGTCGATTCATGATCTCTACCAATATTATTATTATCATTAATATTAGTGAGTTATTTTGTAAGGGTTCGATAAAAAACAATCGAGGGATTCTTTTCATACGAACGGGATCTATGAGAAATAAATAGACCAGACTATTGATACACGACGCATCAAAAAAAATCCTCCATGCAAAATATAACACTGTAATAAACCAACTTTCTAAACGTAATTATATTTAACGTATGAAAATATTTAGTGTAAAGCATTCATTCAGTAAACACACTATTCAGACAGAAAAGTCAACACTTATATGAACAAGCGTAAGTCTAAGCTGCCAGACTTTACAAATTTCAAATTAAACGATGCCAAGATTTAAAAAAATAATAATATTTTTATCAAGACAAAGATTGAACATATGTTCCCCTTTGTGAATTATTCTAAGTTACGAAATTTAGGGTAAAAAGCCACTCAGTCTTGTTAGTACAAAGATCTTATTCAAGAAATCTGCACAACATTGCTAAACTTATATCATAAAACAGTGACTTTATGAATCATGATCACATTTTATACTCTATTTACAATCTAATTCTACTGCCTACAATCAGCTTAGTATTTTGAGGTATATGGCATTGCATCAAAAATAACCCAGTCATCAGTTTACTAGTAAATCTCGATAAGATTCGTAGTTTGATGTAAACTAACAAGTCTAGATAACACAATCATACGAAGTTTGTTTGTTTTGTTTTTTTCTCTTATAAGAAAACGAAATAGTTGGACTTGAGAGTGTGTAATCTAATTGGAATTGTTGATAATGGTATGAATGAATCATGAGGATTGTAGAATAGTTCAATTCTGATTTCTTGTTCTTACATATAAAAAATATCAGTTTCCCAATTTAACCTCTTTCAGATATTACCGTTATGGTTAAACTAATCACGAAGAATAAAAACAAAACATACGTTATTCCCTCTATAACTTCTGTCTTTAACACAATGAAGCATATTTTAGACTTTAATTCAACTTATTTACAAAGTACAAATTTTAAAAAAATTGACTTTAAGCTATGCTTGGTGTGAAGTATTAGTACGCATCATTATTTAATTATCCGGACTTAACTGGTACCTCAATAGTTAAAGAGTTCAACGTTCACCCGCAAAGTCGCAAATTCAAATCCTACCCAGGTACCTCAGTTTCGAAAACCACGTATTACTAACCTTCACGAGGACACGAATCTGTACGTGATAAATGAGTTAATAGTTAGTGAATATTCTTTGATTACCTAAATTAAGGTGTAAATGGAACTCGTAACTCAATATTTGAAATTGTTGTTCTTTAACCTACGCCCAAAATATACACAATTAAACTGCTGTCGGAAATAAATTACTACTAATAAAGCTAAAATGCATATGAACACTACCATATACTTTATTTACTATGAAGATAATTATTAGCGAAGATAACTACTCGGTAACCTATCAATAGATTCTATAACAGCAGTAAATGTAATCCTAAGAAGTTCGGTACTAAGTATTTAGCCTAGACGAAAAAAATTATCCATTGACTACAAACTGAATTTAACGAGGCGAAATCCATAAAAATCATTGGTATGCCAACAGAACAATTTCTAACTTTACCTTGATGCCATATACTTCATTGAAATCTTGAATAGCTCTAGCCATAACCAATGAAATTGGGAGTGTTGCATTGACTGTTTCTTTTCCAGTAGATGTTTTAATAAAATCTGCTCCAGCTAACATACAAACCATTGAAGCCTTATAAACATTATCATAACAGCTTAATTCACCGGTAGCAAGAATAGTCTTTAAGTGTGCTTGATCACCACAAGCTTTACGCATTGCACATACTTCATTATAAACTCCTACAATATGAGAAAGATTTTACGAACTTTTAATAATTCCTGAAACAAGAAAATCATAAAAACAAATAAGGAATAAAGTTTTGTTTTTTAACTTCGGTTACTCCACTGCATTATGTATTGGTTTGTCAATTAAAACTTCACTCAACTTGTCAAGCTCCATAAATCTAATAAAGCTTTGTTTAGGCTAAACAATGTGTCAAATGTGTATGACCAGTTAACACACGTCTAGCATGATAATCTGGTAATGACGATAAGACGAATTGTTGAAGTAAAGACTAACTTCTAAGCTGATATCATAATTAAAGATTCACAAACGAAGACATTCCTACTCGGCTAAGTTTCTAATGAAATTAGACTTAATAAACAAGTTGTTCGAGGAATTGACTAGTGTAAAAGACACTTTAAATAACCATAGTTTTAAAAATATCATCGTGATCATTATTATGAAATCTTTTACTGTTTGTGCAACAATATATCAGCGATACAACAGTTCATTCAATAACAAAAGATGTGAGAATGTTTGGAAGATACTGCATGATAGCCTTTCAAGTTATACGTCTAGCAGAGTGTACCAAAGTGAATTTTATTTACCACTAATTCTTGGTACATATCAGTAGTATTCAATTAAACTACAACCATGAAATATGAACTAGGAAATATTTAAGGTGTAAACCTACTACTACCTTTTAAACTCAAATATAGTAGAAATTATTACCTAATCCATTCAAATGCCTAAATTGGTCACAACTAGGAAAATGAAAGAGAGAATGAAATAAAAATTAGTACAAACCGAGTTCTATAGTTATATGGACTAAAAATAGAGTTAAGCACAGGTCATCTCCAGCTGGAGAATCAGAGATTACTCGACAGATATCTCATCCTAGTTTGACAGAATACATGTGAAGTTGATTAAATAACGTTCGGTTTGACATAGACGAACCGTTTCACTTCTTTTAAATTAGTTGAAAGATATATTTTTTTCATACAAAAGACAGAAGTGAGGCAGCGCTTGCGACAGAAAACAACAGTGAAATCTTCACTTAAAGTCATAGAATTTCCAAGAATTGAAATACTGTCTTTTGATCTAGACTAAAATGTAGTCTATCGTAAGTGTGCCTTTCTTTGCGACTTTGAGTTGACAGTTTAATTGACAATATAGTAAAGCAAAGTCAAGTTACATTACCATAGTAATCAGTAACCAATAAAACTCTCCATTATACATTTCTTAGAAATTCGTGAACTGATATACACAACGTTCGTCAACTTTTTTAAACTCCTGTATTAAAACATCAAAAATCGGTCGTAGAATTAAATACTCATCCCCACATTTTACTTTCGCAAAAAATCACCAAATTCTATGTTATATATAGTAGACTTATATATGAGTACAGTAAAGAAGACATAATGAATTATATGGACATTGAATTTAATATAAAAAAATGGGATAGTAAAGAGACTTCGCTGACTGTTAATTACCTTCCCAATCACCTTGTAAAGCTAATGTCCTATTTATTACTACATCAATTTCATTCGCTCCATCATTTATAGCTGATTTAATTTCCAATAGCCGAGTTTCTAAAGGATATTGTCCAGTAGGAAAACCAGTAGCAACTGTATTTATCATAATTAAAGGATTAGATTTAAAAAGATAATTAACCAGACGCAATATTAAAATTTGGTAATTTTAATTTCTTAAAAGTTTCTGCACATGTTTTAACTTGATATGGATAAACACATACAGCAGCTGTTCCTATTCAATAGATAATTAGATATATTAAAATATATAAAATAGATTGTTACTTAAATCTTGTAAGTTCATATTGAAAGTATTCTCAATGTTATTCAAAACGCATTCACTTAGTGGATGAACTGCTTTTACACAAAGTCTTTGTACATTGACCGGTGTATCATCCCCAGCTAATGTGGTTAAATCGATTAAGCAAATTGCTTTTAACAGCCATTCCACCTGAAGACAAAAAGTAAACGAAGTAACATTGATGAAAATATCTAACACTATATTTATTACTTACTTCAATATCTGTTGGTAATTTTGTATTTGTAAGTTCCTTAGTTAACTGTATTACATTGGAAGCTTCGATATGATCATAGGTAAGCATAGAAGCATCTTGAATGTTATTTTATAAAAAATATTTTGAACTGATTACCGTATGTCTGAATACATCCAACCTTCATTGTTAACCCTACATAAAACAGACAACCCAATAATGAATAATCTTGAAAGACGAAAATGTGCATATTACGGTAATACTAACCATAATAAGGTCCGTAGTACTATATGAAAACTTTAGAGCCCTGAAAACAATTAAGAATATAAACGGATGATAGTTGACATACAAGAATGATCAACTTCATTATTGACACTATTTATTTTGCTTCAATTTTTATTGACAGAACGTACTCATTTTAATCATTTAATATCCTATTTTTTTTAGCAAAATAACTCCATCCTATCACATCCTGTGATACATCTGAAACAAACTTTGCAGTTGAAATCTTCATCTCCAACTTTCTGTATTAACTTCAAAGACAATAAGGATTGTTTCTAATTGTTTAAAATTCTTTATACAACATAGTTGTATGATCTCAATATTTTTAATGTTAACTTTTAGTAGATTTAATTAACATTACAGATAATTATGTTTCAAATGAGACATAGAGAGTACATGCCTTTCGACCTAAGGAAAAACCGAAATCATCAGTATTTTTATGAAAGATGCGATATTTCGCTACAAGAGACCTCGATAACTAATTAATAATGCCGATGCATGACAACGTTTTCATTACTGGTTAAATGCACTAGGCACACCCGACCGAAGCTGCTACCTTGACGCGGTGGTCGGGCTTGCCTATCGTGATGACCCAACCGAGCTATATTAGCTGGAACATATGTTCCTGTAGGTTCTACCATGCCAGGAAGGTCGATTGGAGAACAGTAAGACTAAAAGCAGCAACTTAAGGTCTGAGGGCGAAGTCGTACTGCTGACTGTAGAGGGGTGTGACAGCAGTAAGGTGTTTCCCTCGGACAACCAGCATCTGCAGCGATGCTGCCTTCCCACAAGGAGGGGTGGGGTTAGAAAAGGTCGATCCTAAAAATGTCACACCTCACCTTACCTCACGGATTTCCGTCTCCGGCAGTAAAGCCCTGTGAAGAACGTAGCTAACACGTCAAAAACCTTCCACAAAAGAGCCGTGCGCGACCGGCCTCAAGCAGTTGTCCCTTGGGCTCTGCGGTCACGCTCCCAGGTCGTTAAGACCAACACTAATCCAATTTCCTTTTCAGGTTCCTCAAGAAATACCCTTCCACGGTGTAGGCAGCCGGGAAGTGATATCTGCCCTCATACCCGTAACAGCGCACGAAACCAAGTTGGTCACATTCAAATCCTTCCTACACCTCCTAATACCTCTCTTATTTCCATGACTAACCCTCCTTACGTTTCTTTATCACCTCGCACCGGTAGGGCAAATGATTCGAGTACGCGGAACGCTATTCCTGGTCTCCTGAATCCACGCTCTAAACTACACGTAGGAGCTTTTAACGTCCGAACACTGTGCCAAATAGGACAGCAGGCTTCCTTAGCTAGGACTTTAGAATCCCGCGCCAGCGATGTGTGCTGCGTCTCAGAAACACGCATACAGGATCCGAGTAGCGTCATTCATCTGACCTCACCATGCCAAAATAAAGAACCGACTCGATTCACACTTCGTGTATCTGGAAGCCCTGATTCTGCTTCCCGTGGCCTCGCCGGCGTAGGCATAGCATTGAGTCCTAGGGCAGAACTAGCTCTCTTAAAGTGGATCCCAGTAGACAGTTGTTTATGCGCTGTCCGACTAAACGGAACAGTAAGGAACCGAAAAGATGGGGACTCTCGTCGTTGCCTCTTCGTCGTCTCTGTCTATTCTCCCACTGACTGCAGCGCAGATGATGTAAAAGATGAGTTTTACAGAAAGCTTTCCGACCTTCTCCGAAAAGCTAGGCGCTCAGATGTAGTAATAGTGGCCGGTCACTTTAATGCTCAAGTAGGTAAACTAAGCGATAGGGAAAGACACCTGGGTGGATCTTATAGCATCGTAGCTCAAAGAACAGATAATGGCAACCGTCTGTTGCAGTTATGCTCGGATAACCGCCTCTTTCTTGCAAATACTAACTTTAAGCATAGGGAAAAAGATCATGCTCTAGTACGAGCGCGTATCTGTCTGCGTCTTACTGGACGTAGGAAAGACGCTGCAAGTAAACCTCTTAGGGTCCTACTTAATGATAGTCAAGCTAAGAGTATATTTCAGGAACAACTAGGAAAACAGTTAGGCAGCCATGTATGTGATGCCCAACCCGACGCAGCATGGAATGATATCCATAAAGCTGTGGAAACAGCAGTGATATTTGCTAGTACGGTAACCCGTAAGGTCAGGAAACGACACGATCTCAGCAGCATCTATCGCACTGGTAGATGCTCGGAAACTCATCCCACCTGGCTCTGAACATAATGAAGAGCGGAGTCAGCTTAAGCGCAAGCTGACAAGAAGTCTACACAGTGATCGTGAACAGTGGTGGGTAGTGAAAGCTAGAGAGATGGAAAAGGCAGCGGTAATAGGTAATAGCAGACAATTGTTCAGACTTGTTAGGGAAACCGGTATTAGGAAACTGCCATAGACATAGAGTTCATCGTTTGTACTCACCCTGGATGGTGAGCAGATAGAAGTAGTCGAGAAGTTCGTGTATCTGGGTAGCTGCATAAGTGCTGGCGGTGGTGTGAATGATGAGATCAATGCACGTATAGTGAAAGCCAGAGTGGCTTATGCCAATCTGGGCCACCTTTGGCGCCTTCGTGATGTTAGTCTGGCTGTAAAAGGTCGGATCTACAACGCGTCGGTGAGAGCAGTTTTGCTCTATGCTTGTGAAACCTGGCCTCTCCGAGTTGAGGACGTTAGACTACTCTCTGTGTTCGATCATCGCTGTCTCCGAAGGATTGCTAACATTCAGTGGCAACACCATGTCAGTAATGCAGAGGTTCCGCATCGTGTGTTTGGGCACAGAGATGATAATTCAATTGGTGTCACCATCTTGAAACACCGACTTCGGTGGCTTGGACATGTTCTACGAATGTTGTCCCAGAGAATTCCACGTCGTGCATTATTTGCCGACTCTGTGACTGGTTGGAAAAAACGGAGAGGTGGTCAGTGCATGACATGGTTTCGTGGTATGAAAGAAAGCTGCAAAGGACTGGCTTGTGTCGGTCCTTCACGACTCCCTGGTTGGGGTCTGAGAGATGGTGCTACACAGTGGCTAGAGACGTTATCAGATATGGCTCAGAATAGAAGCCAGTGGCGATCCTGCTGTAACCTTCTTTTACTTTCTTCATAAAAAGTGGTTGTGTCTCCCTTACTTGAGAGATTTCTTCTGATTGTACCTTTCCGTTCCATCGTTACGACCACACTACCTTACACCAATCTCTTCGTTATCGTTCTCTTTTTCTTTTGTGCTCCTTAGTTTTTTTTTTCTATCTCTCTTCGAATTTTTATTGTTTTGTGTGGCGCATATATATTGGCGCTCTCTTGTACCAATATTCATGTGTTCAAATAAATAAATAATAAATAAATAAATATTAGGAAACTGACTGTTAGCGAAACACTATCAGAGAAAGATGGACATATTATACACTCTCAATTCAGGATATTGGATCGATGGGCAGAACACTTCAGGGATCAGTTCAACTGGCCTGCAGTCACACTTTGGTTTCCCACGATCTCCAGTCAACCTGAATGGCAAGTTAATGTAGGTCCTCTGACTCTTTACGAAGTCGAAAAAGCTATGGGAAATATGAGGCGGGGGAGAGCGTCAGGCCCTGACAGGTTTACTCCTGAGATTTTTAAGGATGGTGGTTCAGTATTAGCAGTGAGATTAACTGAGGTCTTAGGTAGAATTTGGGAATTGGACGTAATCCCATCTGACTGGTCTCAATCACTGATTGTGCCAGTTTTTAAGAAAGGACAAAAGTCCTCTTGTGACAATCACAGAGGAATCAGTTTGACTAATATAGTGTCTAAAATATTAGCTTCAATGATACTTCGACGCCTAACCAAAGCTCGTGAAGAGCAAACTAGAGAAAACCAGGCCGGTTTTCGACCTGGACGTGGTTGTATAGACCAAATATTCACACTACGTCAGGTTCTAGAACACAGACACACGTTTAGACGCCCCAAAATGGTAGTATTTCTCGACCTTAAGGCTGCATTCGACTCTGTTGATCGTAAGGTTCTATGGCAGTGTTTGTCACTGAAAGGAGTACCAAAGAAGTACATTAACCTTATTCAGGCTCTCTACTCGAACACAACTGGTAGATTGAGAGCTTATGGCGAACTGTCATTAGAATTGATTACCTCAAGTGGTATTCGTCAGAGCTGTCCACTCTCTTCTTTCTTGTTTGACTTTGTCGTTGATGTGCTTTTAGAGATGACCCTTTCCTCATCTAAATTTCCAGGGGTTGAACTTCTACCAGGAGGTTCACTCGTTGACTTAAAATATGCCGATGACATAGTTTTATTTGGCGAAGACGCTGACAAAATGCAGTGTCTTCTGACCACTCTAAGCAACAATGGAAGCATGTTCGGGATGCGATTCTCTCCCTCGAAATGTAAAATGTTGCTTCAGGATTGGGTTGCATCGACACCCGAACTAATGATAGGGAGTGAAGTAATTGAGCGTGTCGACCGCTTCACTTATCTTGGAAGTCTCATCAGCCCTTGTGGTCTGATATGTGACGAAATCTCAGCACGGATACAGAAGGCTCGACTAGCTTTTGCCAACTTGCGTCATTTATGGCGTAGACGAGATATCCGTCTATCAACCGAAAGACGGGTTTACTGCGCAGCAGTTCGTTCCGTCCTACTTTATAGCAGTGAAACATGGCCGGTAAGAGTAGAGGATATTCGTAGACTATTAGTATTTGATCATAGGTGTCTTCGAAACATTGCTCGTATATCCTGGGACCATCAAGTAAATAATGCAGTTGTTAGGAAACGGATACTAGGTAGGGATGGCAAATCAATTGATGAAGTGGTGAAAATTTATCAGTTGAGATGGCTGGGACACGTGTTACGTATGTTCAACGACCGACTGCCTCGGCGTGCGATGTTCAGTGGTATAGGAGTTGATTGGAAGAAAGCTAGGGGCGGCAAGACCAAA